GCTCTAGAAGAACCTGGTTCTTCTAAGTGGACTATCTACTGCTGTTTGCGGATTAATAAATACAAAAAATAAAGAACACAGAGATTTTTACGTGGAAAACACCTGGCTCAAAAGGTGAAAAAACCACGACCTACTACTCAGTAGGATTTTCCCAAACTTCCACTAAAATCACTGAGCCAAAACAGCATTTACAAAACTCTTGTAAACCTAAGGATTAAACTCTAATCCCGTTGTGGCACACAGCCTCAACTGTTGCGACAACTTCAAGTTAAATCTAACTTGAATACTCAAAGTACTTAATACAATTGCTTTTATGAAAGCTGAAAGGTACAAGTTTAAATCATCTACTACAATTGAACTAAAATAAAAGAAAGACACAATGGAATTGGTTCTTCTATCTTGTCTAAGTAGCTTCAGGAATTCACACTTAAATCTCACATAAATTGCTTGCAAAATTGCCTCGCTCTTTTGCTCTCAATTTAGTTTAACTTCTGCGTTTGTGAAATACCTGTAAAAGAGAACAATCACTGTTATTTAATGAGTTAGTAATTAGAGTTTGATTGAGACTCAATTTCTGATCTTCCATCGAAGTTGAGTCCTTGAACAACACAAACTCCAACCCTATCTTTTATCCGGATTGTATTCTCTTCTCATAAGGAGACTTTCTCTCCTTATCCCATATGCAACCTTTTCGATCAGTTCAGGAGATATTGCTGCTTGATCAATGAGACTTATCTCCTTCACGTGCATCTCACATGTATAGGGTGACAAACATTATGCTTCACATGATGGACCTGGTCCATGACTGAGTTCATTTGTCATTCTTCAAAACTTCACCTGTTCTTGGGCCAACAGGGAGTGTTATAAATTGTATGATGGATGTTCATTTAGTACTCCGTTGTAAATAAGCTTCCTGAAGAAGCTTATCCATATGGGACTCTGCCGTAAATATGTTTATCTATTTAGTACTCTATTGGAAATAAGCCCCCTGAAGAAGCTTATCATTTCAATACTCCGTTATGGATAAATATTACCCCCCCCCGGTAGTAGATTATCTATATCTGGTATAGTAGCAGCTTACAAGCAACTTATAAGCAACTTACACAGCAGCTTGCAGTAGCAGCTTACAAGCAGCTTACACAGCAACTTTGCAGCTTCCTTTCTTCTATAAATAGAGGAGATTTCAGTTCATTATATACATCAGTTTGAAATTGAATAATACATCAGTTTTTCTCTATACGTGCCTTTACTTTGCGGTCTTTAGTTTTATAGCAATAAGTATATTTTGCGGACCAACATAGTAACATTTTTGTACTTAGAGGGTGTTTGGCTAAGCTTATAAGCTGGTCAAACTGGCTTATAAGCACTTTTTGGTTTATCTACGCGTTTGATAAAATTAAAAGTGTTTATAAGTTAAGTGCTTATAAGCCAAAAATAAGCGAAAGCCATAAGTTGGTCTCCCCAACTTATCAAATTTCAGCTTATAAGCAGTTTAAGTTTGACCAAAATATTTACTATTCTATCCCTAAAATACTTCTTTTTAAACAAAACTCTTCGTATACCAGTTCTTTAGCTGCATATTATTAATTTCAGTACTTTTATCCAAACGCGTAACTGTTTATTTTTTAAATCAGCTTCAACACTTAAAAGTATTTTTCAGCACCTAATGCTCATGAGCTACTCTAAATCAGCTAAGCCAAACGGGCTCTTAAGTTGAAAGTTTACATTGACATTTCTGCAAGGTATACTACTACTTGACAAAAACGACGACACTTATTGAAACGTGTGATCCGACCGATTCGATCAAGTACAAACCAAAACTTTTCTTCTTCAGTTGTAGTTTTAGCTCGCCAGCGTAAACCCTTGTAGCAGCGATTCAAGGAATTGGAAGATTTCTTGCCCATTGTGAGAAGTCCAGCTGAACAGTGTGTAATGGGGGTGGTGGGCAAAGCAGGAGATTGGGCATTTAAGGCGTTCTCGGCGGGGCTGGGCGTTGCCACCATTTTCTTTGCAGCTTCTTTCTCCCTCAACGTCTACCGTGGTCTCTCTTGGCATAATCGCCAAACGGTAATCACTTTCGTTCTCATACTTTTGTCTTTTATTTCTTTATTTCATAAACCCTAGACCTCTTTTATACCAATTGATTTTTACTTTTTTTTTATTCTCTTTGTTTTTTTACTACTTTGAAATTAAGTTCAATCATTACTAACTATCGTTCAGCTATATGATGTTACTACTTTACATTCAGCATGCTTTACTTGTATCTACTTGCTCTAATATGATTCCCATTTTAGCTTTCTCTTGTTTGGTTATATGACAGGAATATGTACTTACTTACTGCTCTTTCATTTGTCTTATGATGGGAGACATTGGCGAAGCTAGGAATTTCCCAAGGGTGTTCAAATTTAAAAAAAGTGGAAAAATTTCCGACAAAAGGTGTTCCATATGTGTTATATACTTCTAAAATGTAATATTTTACCTACGTACACAGTGCAATTTTTCGATCACCATGTTGCTTCGTGGGAGATATAGTAGTATTATATAACATGAACACGTAAAACCAAGAAATGCTTGTCTTGTTATCATTGTCAATATATTGTGCACGGAGGCGGAGCCAGGATGTGAGTTAATGGGTTCTATATTTGCCACTGTACCCATACCTCGTCTTTGTTAGTGGTTACGCAATTAAATATTTTTATATATTTAATGAATTTCCTAATACAAATATAGAGTCTAAGCAAAAGTTACTGGGATTCGTCCGAACCCATACTTCATACTGTACCTCCGCCCCTGATTCTGCTGCTCATATAAGATTCAAGGTTATAGTTTTTCATATCTCAGTCTTTTGAGGGATTTAAGGATAGTTCTGATCCCAAACTACCAATTACTGAAAGCACAAAAACAGTATCTCTGTGTTGCAAATGGGATGGCACTTCTGCTTCAATAGTATGTTGGGTTTGACACTGCAGTCTGTGTTTTCAATCACGAACTACTTACTGCACCCCCTTTAGCCTAAATATGTCTTAGTTTGTTCTGGTATAGTTGGATAGTTGCTTGTTCCTCTCTTTTCATATGTACTAGTACTAAATTCTGACCAGTTCCCAAATATATGTTTAAAAATTGAATGATGAATAAAAGTTGTAGAGTTGGAAAGAAAAAAGTCTTAGACGAATCGTTGATGTCTGATGTCATTTCCTTTCATTTATAGTATAACTATGGTTGCTTCAAAGTTGAATCTGTCTCCAAATGTCATGAAAGTTGAAGTATAAACCTTCCAGTTTATGGCTATAAGTCCCCTGTGCTCTTTGCTTTTGTTCTGCATTCTGTGTGTGAACTCTTTTAATATGCCTTTCGTATTCAATGTTGATGTTAGATCTCTTTTCCTAGATGATTGTATGCTTATGTTGACATCTGGCTATTAAACACTTTTTTCACGGTTACAAGTCGTTTATTGAACTTTTAGCTCTACTAGTCAGCTATTTGATATGTGAGCATTTTCTTCCTGTAGAGGATTGAGAAGGAAGGATCTAAAGTCATGCAGCAGCAGGAATGACGGTTTTAGACGTCCTACACTTTATACCTCATGTTGCTAGCTGGGATCATGCTATAAGTTCTGAATCTATTTAGATTAAATTAACTTGAAGACGAGTATGATTTACACATTCTGTCATTGTTATTCATTTACTGTTGCTGGCCACATAATTGTGGAGTTGTAATTCTAAGTAGCTATTTAATTATAGCAGCTGCTGACTGTTAAAATGGAGTTGGAACGATGTTTGAAATTCATATGACGTGAATTGAAATTATACAAACGGATTGAACTGATTATTCACTCATGCTTTCTCTGGAAACCAAAGAAAGGTAAGAGAAAGAAGGAAACTTGTAAATTTTCCCTTCTATTAATTGGTTGAGTAGAAAATGAGGGAAGGAAATAAAGGAGGGTACAATTTTCCTCTTGGACCCACAAAATTCCATTTTAAATTCCAGAAAGAAACGTCAAATACTTTCCTTTCTTTTGCTTGTTTTCTACCCAAATCAAAGTAAGGATATGTACTCCATTAATTTTCTTATTTCTACACAAAGGAACGAAAATTACTTCGCATTTCCTCTTTCATTTTATCTCCTACTAGCTTTATCCCATTTCACTAGTTTCTGATCATAGGTTTACAGATTATCCTTCCATGTTTGCTGTCTTCTTTGTCGATTCTTTTGACAGTTTCTTTGAACCCCCCAAACTTATTTATCCGCTTAGAAAATGGCCGAAATTGCAAACACAATTTACTTATATACTAGTGAGATTACTTTATCATTGAAAAAAAAGTATACAAGTAATACAGCCATTTGGTTGGCCGCATAATGAGTTAAACTATGACAGCCATCGCCAATTGAGACTAATAATAATTGGTACTGATGAAGCCGTCCGGTTGGTTGAACTTTTCAATTTTGGTCTCTTTAAAAAGATTGTAAATAAAAAGAAGTTCAAGCTTGTATAAACAAATACATTTGCCTTGCAGCACGTTGATTTGGTAAGAAATCACGTTGGTAAGTTTGGTCTAACCAAGTTCCAATTGTCTTTGTGCCAGGTGTCTCTCCTTTTTTGGGTCATATCGTAACAGTTCTTTATGTGACTGACTATAGGTAACACTTGGACCGAGCAATTAACCAACTTTTGGGATTCTTCAACTAAGTATATGTGTTGCGCTTATCATTTTGGTGCTATGCGGAGAGCACTCATGCCCATGACTCCAAAAGGTCCGAAGCAAGATTAAACAGTAGCATGGGTTCATTAATATACACACACCCTGGCAACAATCATTTACATATTCTGATATCATTTCAAACCGTATAACGACAATGCATAAATAATAATAGAGAAACCAATTCCCAGAAAAAAATGAAATAAACGAAATATCCTTCTATACATGGCCAGTTTCATATCAGATCTGCCACTCAGTGGTCCAGCTTTCTTTTTTCCCCATTATCTTTTCTTCTTAGAAATATTTAAAAGAAAACATCAACATGTAAACACTAATCCTAACGAAAGTTTGGCTGAATGATCTGGGATAGGCTATAGTACTTGGCAAATCTTTCTTAATGAATAACCCTGGCAAAATATGTAAATCCACAATTATAGTAGTAGTTCTAGTAAGAAACTGCTCCCTGCTTCATTCTTTACATCCTACTATAATGTTCAGTCCACGCTGAATTGAGTATTAAACTCAGTCTTCAATCCAGTCTCCAACGCCTGGAAACAGAAGCAACCATGGAAAACAGCTTCAGTGTATGTTCCTCCAGTCAAGAAATACTTGTGAAAATTATGTAAACAATTGAACAACCACTGTTTTTGTAGATATTTTTAAGAGGTTCACTATAGTGGTAAGCACACAACTGGGGGCCAAGGTGCCAAGTAATAAATTAATGCAAATGTGTAAGCTACAAAGTTTTAACAACTGCACATGTTCTTTCGGGATATCAGTTGATATCCTGGTGTGCATTAATTACAAAGATTACAACCCTCCCAACGACCCCTCACATGAAAAATAATGGGCAGTGGATTAAAGGAGGAGACTACAGTCGGTAGTTACAAAAGTTATGATGAAAAGGAGTGTTTTGTGTGGTCAAACTTCTCTCAGGCCATTCCATTCGATTTCTAGAAAGGATTACTAGTCCTTAACTTTTCGAGGAATCCTTCATCAGTGGAGTGGTTGTGAATGACTGATTCCCTAAAAGCATGTCATGGTCAGGGAAGGGTAGCAGAAAATAGGCACCAGAAAATGACTATGAACCCAAATCCCAATTGCAAAATGTTATCCATATATGGTTGCATCTGAAGCACAAATTCCATGTTCTCTACTAGACATGCAGGCAATTAATGCAAACAAAGAAGTTGAGATATTTATAAAATACCTGACATAAACTATAATACACTATTTCGCAAATTTCTTGAAACTCCACCAATCGAAGGTTCAGAAATTCCATGGGGGTCACCATGAATTTCAGCTAATGGGTTCACAATAAACCCACGACTACTATGGAGCCGATATCTCCTATGCTCCAACTTAAATCTTTCACCATTTCCATGCTCACCAGCTTCGTTGCTTATAACACCTGCCGAGGAGGCTCCACCAGAAGCAGAAAAGTGTGAAGTTGCGCCGCGACCTTCTGTTCTCTTCCAAAGTTTTGAAGTCAAGAATTCTGCACCTGGTAGCTTGCAACACATCGCTGCAGAGTTGGTTTTCGACATCCTTCCATTTGACATAGCCAAGTCAAATGAGATCTCATCTAATGCCAGCTCCAGACCATGAACACGTGTCTCCAGAGAACGCATGCCATTTTGTGAGCTCCCCATAAATTTCTAAAAATACGAGAAGAAGAGAAAATTGAGAAAAATACTCAAGGAAACATCTATGGTCTAAGTAGGAGAGCTAAGATTTATGAAATAATGATCAGGAGCATTTCTATATGCTCAATATATTCGTTAAAAAATCCTAGAAATTGATAATTAGGCTGGAAGAGCTTATCAAGAAACCATGAGAGCTTCATATAGCAGCATTTTGATCCAAGGGAACTAATACATTACTTTATCAAGATCAAAAGGAACTAATCTAAGGCTGGAGAAAGTCAAGAATTCGGGATTAACTCTGCTAAAAGCATATGTTGTTGCGTAAAAGTAGGTACTAAACAAGGACTTAACTCATTTTGTATATCATGTTTCCAGTATATCTTTGGAAGCAAGGAAAGAAACTCAGACATTAAACATATAATAAGTGCAGGCAAGTTATTGAGCATTACTGATAATTTTTTTTTATAGCTGATATATTTTCATTTACTCTACACTACTCCCCTCATAAATCGAAATTATAGAAGCGGAATATCATCAACTATTAGAAAATTACCTGCAGAAGCTCTAACAAATTGGACTGCTGAGTTTCAATTTGAACCAGTTGTTTTCGGATCAGAGAGAGATCTTCACAATCTTTTGGGTTCCGACAGAGATCTCCAGTTCCATTACTCACAACTACAGTAGCTTCTGATATCTCATCTTGATGTGGAACCACACGAGATCCAGCCTTCACCAAACCATTCTTGGTTTCATTAGTGATCTTACTGAAAAGAGTCCGTTTGACTTCAGGTCTTGCATGTGTTTCCAACTTGTCTTTGCCCAACTTTATCCCATCTTTATTTTGGTGATCATCCTCAGAAGAGATGGTCCCAGAAGAACCATGAGAAGCAGAAACTTCAACTTTCCATGGCTTCTTACGATCAAGTTTGCGAAAGATTGCTGGACTTGATTTCTTTTCACTACTGTCAAGGGGACGACCTTTTCGGGCTGCATGAGGAGTTGAATCATCTGCTATAGAAGACTTGTTAGCCGGTCTTTTTACACTAGGAGTACTGGAGCTCACAGCCCTGGAAGTCTTCAAACCAGGCGGGTAACGTCCATCACTTGCAATTTCTATTTTGAGGACACAACATGTAAAACATTCTAAATGATTCAGTTTCACAAGTAATGAGCATGGAAAAAATTAGAAGTGTGGTATTTTAAGAAGCAATTACACTAAAATAAAGAAGCAACTAAACTAAGATAAAACAGCATCAGCAAACTATAAAATAGAGACCAGTAGCAAAATATCTCATGCTGACTGCACAAACTGAGGAACGAAGCAATATGAAACAAAGTACTTAACTAACAGCCAACTGCTTGCATGATAATCCTTCATGTAGCACAAGAGAAATCAATCAGAAAATTCAAGGGTTAACATGTCCTCCCCAGGACAAAAAAAATTAGGAAAAGGGTAAATTAAAACTTATAGTAATAATCTTGGAAAAAATTAAAACGTAATATTCTTGACCGACGGACGCTAAAAAACCAAGAAGTTGATCAAGAGGACAAAAATAAGGAACTAGAAGGTGGATACAGTATATCAACTACTGGTATAACCTGGGGAAAAAAATGATAAGGGTGAAAAGCTAGTAAAGATTAAATACCTTTGGAAGAAGAACTTGACTGGGGAGGAGGGGAACCATCATCAGACAAATCAGGGATTCCCTTCCATGCCTCCAACATTTGATTCATTGTTTCCCTCACTGCCTTTACCTGTTCAATTTAATCAAATCCATCTTTAATTATCAGGCAAAATTGCACACGTACCAAATGGTAAACAGGCAATGTGAGAAATCAATTAACTTCGTTCAAGTAATTCGAACAAATTGAATATAATTGGACAAACCTTATCGAATCGTTTCGCTTCAAAAGTCTTCAAGCACGAGGCTTTAAACTCGGATAGAGTGTCTCCCTCGACTATAGCAAGCCTCTGTAAAGCCTCTGCGCTGGCTTTCCTAGCCGCCCAATCATCACTACTCACGAATTCAACCAAGTACGGCACCAAATTCCTCACAATCTGCTGACTTGAAGCTCCTCCCACTGCGATCACACTTCCAATCAACGTAAGCAGTGCTGCCTTCGCTTTGAAGCTCTCGCTTTTAAGCAACTTCTCAAATCTCGGCAACGACTTCCTCAAACAGGCAGTATCCGGATCTGGTGACGCCTCGATAGCCGCCGCCAAGCACAAGGCGGCGCCGATCTGCGAGTTCATCTCCTGTTCCGTGAAAAGCGCTTCCAGGAACGGCTTGATAATGGAAGAGAACGGAGGTCTAGTCAAGTGCGACGAAATGGAAGCACAAGCAGACACGCAGGCGGCGCGTACGGCGGAATCAGGATCACGGAGGCGGCGGACGACGGCGGTGAGAAGCTTTGAGAGATGAGGAGAGAGTGAGTCGCCGTGGTGCTCGGAGAGAAGAGAGATGAGGCGGAGGCATTGTTTACGGACT